GGGAAACAAAGAAACTAAATTTTCAGTCCTTAGCTAGGGTTGTAAATCCTACTCCTCTTTTCCTAGGAAGGATAGTGGACTGTAGCGGGGCAGGAAGCTTTCTTAAAGGGGAACTGAGTGCTTGATTGGAGACCCACAATCTACCTGCAGGCATTTCTACACATCAGCTTGTATTTTATTCAATTATATAACATATAATTATATATTATATTCAAATATATAAAATTATATATTTATTTATTATATTTTATTCATAGATATTCACAGTCTAGCCTAGCTCTAAAATTATTGCATCAGCCAATAACCAAATAATACTAATAAACACAACAAGGTACTTGAATAATACAAGTATGATATATATGCAAATATGCAAACAATATATTATATTCAATATGATAAACTAATGTTAATTGTTATTTCAATTAATTATTTGACGAATCATACTGGATAATTATATATACTGATGTTTATATATATATATATATATATATATATATATATATATATATATATATATTAGTATATTTTGGTAGCAGTCTTTCCTGTAGACATATATTATTAAATATGACCGAAAAAGTAAGATTAATAATTCTAACACGAATTTTCTCAATCTTTCGTACATTTCTTTTCACTGTTGGAGGTAAATCAAAAATCAATTCTCCAAAATTCATTTTTATTTCTAGTCTGACGCGACACGAGCGCGTTTCGTAAAACTTATTACGTTTTCAAAGACTTTAGTTCACAAATACACAACTGAATAGAACTTACGCATCTCCGATTTTATATCTACATTTGAGTGAGGTGAAAGGGGTGATGTGGCATTAACACAAGACAGAACAAGATGTGGCATTAATAGGGTATTAATTTCATCAACACAAGACAGAACAAGAGTATTAATAGGGTATTAATTTCATCAACACAAGACAGAACACGAAACAATGGATATTGAATAGAGGTGTTTGTAGAAAGCCTATTGGTCCATATTTCTTGATGCTTCTATATTGGAGCGGAGTCTTGAGGTGGGTAGAATATAGTTGTGCAATAATTGGCTGTTGATTGCTGGTGTTGACTTCTTGATGTGTAGTGCCTCGCAAACGTCAAGCCGCCTGCTATCGCTGTATCTATCGATGATTTCTGTGTGTGTTTACTAGGATTTCTCTGGCGATGGTTTGGTTGTGGGAAGAGATTATATGTTCCTTAATGGAGCCCTGTTGCTTATGCATCGTTAAACGCCTAGAAAGAGATGTTGTTGTCTTGCCTATATACTGGGTTTTTTGGAGCTTACAGTCCCCAAGAGGGCATTTGAAGGCATAGACGACGTTAGTCTCTTTTAAAGCGTTCTGTTTTGTGTCTGGAGAGTTTCTCATGAGTAGGCTGGCCGTTTTTCTGGTTTTATAGTAAATCGTCAGTTGTATCCTCTGATTTTTGTCTGTAGGGATAACGTTTCTATTAACAATATCTTTCAGGACCCTTTCCTCCGTTTTATGAGCTGTGGAAAAGAAGTTCCTGTAAAATAGTCTAATAGGGGGTATAGGTGTTGTGTTAGTTGTCTCTTCAGAGGTTGCATGGCTTTTCACTTTCCTTCTTATGATGTCTTCGACGAAACCATTGGAGAAGCCGCATATGTCGACCGTGCTCTCAGCCACAGCTCAGAATGGAAGCAAGTCGACGAAGAACTCTGTAGGGTAAGGCAGGTCCTAGTCAATAACGGCTTCTCCAATGGTTTCCGAGGCACTACACATCAAGAAGTCAACACCAGCAATCAACAGCCAATTATTGCACAACTATATTCTACCCACCTCAAGACTCCGCTCCAATATAGAAGCATCAAGAAATATGGACCAATAGGCTTTCTACAAACACCTCTATTCAATATCCATTGTTTCGTGTTCTGTCTTGTGTTGATGAAATTAATACCCTATTAATACTCTTGCTCTGTCTTGTGTTGATGAAATTAATACCCTATTAATGCCACATCTTGTTCTGTCTTGTGTTAATGCCACATCACCCCTTTCACCTCACTCAAATGTAGATATAAAATCGGAGATGCGTAAGTTCTATTCAGTTGTGTATTTGTGAACTAAAGTCTTTGAAAATGTAATAAGTTTTACGAAACGCGCTCGTGTCGCGTCAGACTAGAAATAAAAATGAATTTTGGAGAATTGATTTTTGATTTACCTCCAACAGTGAAAAGAAATGTAAGAAAGATTGAGAAAATTCGTGTTAGAATTATTAATCTTACTTTTTCGGTCATATTTAATAATATATATATATATATATATATATATATATATATATATATATATATATATATATATATATATATATATATATATATATATATATATATATATATATATATATATAAATAAAAATGTAAATGTTTGTTCAAAATCGCTAATCTCCGAAAGCTCTTCACTGATTGTTTTAAAATTTTCACACAACGTTCTATTCATATCCGAGCAGGTTTTTATATACATAATATATAGAAGTCACGTATGTGACTGGAAATACATGTTTTTTTTTTTAAACTGTGTTTATCAAGTGTTTTTCATATGAGGGAAAACTTCGAAACCTCTTTACCGATTACTTTGAAATTTTTGACACAACGTTGCATTCGAATAGGCGCGTGTTTTTATATACCTACTATATACATGCCTCACCTGTGACAGGGAAAAACATGCTATTTTGAAAAACAGCGCCATTGGACAAACAGGCGGACATAAGAGAAACACACGCTGTAATCTCCGAAAGTTATTCACCGATTGCTTTGAAATTTTTACATAACGTTCCATTCAAATACGCATGTGTTTTTATATATGTACTTTATAGATGTCACACCTATGACAGGTAAAAACCTGCTTTTTTGAAAACAGCAACATCTGTTGCATGCAATTGCAACAAACTCTATACTAAATATGTTACGATTCCATTTCAATGTTTCCGATTACACTGATAATTTGAGTTTTCATACATTTCAGTTTATTTCCATTTTTATTTAAATTTTGAATGACATTGCATTGGAATTGAGCTGTGTTGTTTACCATACCGTTCATTTCGTGTGTATAGCTTATTTTTCTATTATTTTCATTGTTTTGTTTTTCATTTCGTTTTCTTAACTTTTTTTCTTATATTTCAGTGATGGGAACATCAGATCATTTGGGAATGCATCAGACGAGGGAGTGGGGATTGGTGGGGAGGATGAGGGGGGACGGGAGTGGGGAATCATGGGGAGAACAAAGGGACCGGAGAGGGGGTAATGGTGGTGAGGACGAGGGAGCAGGGAACATGGGGATTGTGGGGGACGAGGGGACTTCCTATTGTTTAGGTACCATTCCAAACTCTCCTGTCCCTTCGTCCTCCCAACCATTCCCCACTCACCCATCCCCTCGAACTCCCCACCATCCCCCATTCCCGCCACCTCGTCCTCCCCACAATTCCCCACTCCCTTGTCCAATGCATTCCCAAATGATCTGATGTTCCCTTAAAAAATTGGGAACATCAAATGATCTGATTCCCATCACTGAAAAATAAGAACAGTTAAAAAATGAAATGAAAAGAAATGAAAAAAAAGCAAATAAACCATACTCAAGTGAACGGTGTGGTAAACAACACAGCTCAATTCCAACGCAATGTCACACAAAATAATTAAATCACAATGAAAATAAATCGAAATCTATGAAAATTCAATTAATCAATGCAATCGGAAACATTGAAATGGAATTGTAACATATTTAGAATAGTGTGTGCTGCTATTACATGCAACAGATGGCACTGTTTTTCAAGAAAAGCATAGTTTTACTTGTCAAAGGTGTGGCATCTATACTTATATTCATGAAATGAACGGTATGGTAAACAACACAGTTCAATTTCAACGCAATATCACACAAAATAATTAAATCAAAATGAAAATAAATCGAAATCTATGAAAATTAAATTTATCAATGTAATCAGAAACATTGAAATGGAATCGTAACATATTTAGTATAGCATGTGTGTTGAAATTACGTGCAACAGATGGCGCTGTTTAAAAAAAAAATGTTTTTACATGTCACAGGTGTGGCATCTATATAGTAGGTATTTAAAACACGTGTCAATTTGAATGGAATGTTTTGCCAAAATTTCAAAGCAATCGGTGAAGAACTTTCGGAGATTACAGAGTGTGTTGCTCTTACGTCCAAGAGATGGCGTTGTTTAGAAAAAACAACATGTTTTTTCCTGTTACAGCTGAGGGCTGTATATAGGTATATAAAAAGATGCGCATATTCGAATGCAACGTTGACTAAAACTTTCAAAGCAATCGGTAAAGAGGTTTCGAAGATTTCCCACACATGAAAAACTCATGAAAAATGAATTTAAAAAAAAGCATGTTTTTTCCCGTCACAGACGTGCCATATATATGACATGTATATACAAACTCGCTCGGATGCGAATGGAACGTTGTGTGAAAATTTCAAAGCCATCGGTGAAGAACTTTTGGAAATTAGCGGTTATGCACAAACGAACATTTACATTTTATTTATATAGATGTAAGCGTGGGCCACACACACACACACGCTTGGGGTCCAGGGTTCGAGTCTCCTAGAGCCCACGTGGATGGAACGGAGTAGTTATGATGGTTTGGTGACCATCAGCCAACAGTATTCTCAGCACCCTTCTCTCTCCAATACATAACTCCCACGATAAAACAAAGGTGTTGTTTACATAACAGTTTTAAAGGCTTTTCTATATCATTGACGTAAAGAATCGACAATCACCCACGACGAGTCGCATGTTTCACCAACTGATCTGAACTCAGGAGAACAGTTAATGTTACTAATTGGCAGAAGCTTATTAATACTAGCGAGAGATGCCAGCACTTGGTCTCATGCTTGGGTCGAGGGGTCTGACGCTCAGCCAGTTACTGAACCAGTCTCCAGTGAGTGTAAGATGATGACCTTAATAGTCTTCTGTCTACTATGATGTCTTCACGGAAGATTACTGACTTCCGTGATCTCTTACTACCGTGGTGACTGTTCCTTGGTGACTGATCCTTGGTGACTGATCCTTAGTGGCTGATCTCTTGGTGGCTGATCTCTTAGTGACTTCCTTGGTGACTGATCTTTGGTGACCGATCCTTGGTGGCTGATCCTTGGTGACTGATCCTTGGTGGCTGATCCTTGGTGGCTGATCCTTGGTGACTGATCTCTTAGTGACTTTCTTGGTGACTGATTCTTGGTGACTGATCTCTTGGTGACTTCCTTGGTGACTGATCCTTGGTGACTGATCCTTGGTGACTGATCCTTGGTGACTGATCCATGGTGGCTGCTCTCTTGGTGACTGATCCTTGGTGACTGATCTCTTGGTGACTGATCCTTGCTGACTGATCCTTGCTGACTGATGTCTTGGTGACTGATCCTTGGTGACTGATCCTTGGTGACTGATCCTTGGTGACTGATCCTTGCTGACTGATCCATGGTGGCTGCTCTCTTGGTGACTGATCCTTGGTGACTGATCCTTGCTGACTGATGTCTTGGTGACTGATCCTTGGTGACTGATCCTTGGTGACTGATCCTTGCTGACTGATGTCTTGGTGACTGATCCTTGGTGACTGATCCTTGGTGACTGATCCTTGGTGACTGATCCTTGCTGACTGATCCTTGCTGACTGATGTCTTGGTGACTGATCTCTTGGTGACTGATCCTTGCTGACTGATCCTTGCTGACTGATCCTTGCTGACTGATCCTTGCTGACTGATGTCTTGGTGACTGATCCTTGGTGACTGATCCTTGGTGACTGATCCTTGCTGACTGATGTCTTGGTGACTGATCCTTGGTGACTGATCCTTGGTGACTGATCCTTGGGGACTGATCCTTGGTGACTGATCCTTGGGGACTGATCCTTGGTGACTGATCCTTGGTGGCTGATCTCTTGGTGGCTG